TCACTATTTGTAAACAACTGCCGTCGAACACGAGACTGTGACCTCATAGCCGAAAGTCTTTCTAAACGCGAGCCAGGTGATTCGTTGTTACGAGACTGCACAGCATACTCTCGCATCTGCTCGAGTCGAGAAGCGCGGGATGATGGAGACTCATGCTCACGAATTAATTCGGCATGCTCCCGCATCTGGTCGAGTCGGGCAGCGCGAGTTGGTGGAGACTCGTGTTCGCGAACATTTCCCGCATGCTCCCGCATCTGCTCGAGTCGAGCAGCGCGAGATGATGGAGACTCATGTTCACGAACGTTTGTGGCATATTCCCGCATCTGCTGGAGTCGTGTCATACGAGACGACGGGGACTCAGCAGCTCTCTTTTCAGATTTGCTAGCTGCAAGCCTACGCCGCTTTTGTTCCCTATCAACGCTAGACTCACGTGCTTGTAAAGTACGTCTACGGGTACTTTTGTTATTTATAAGCTCTTGACGTGAAGTAGGTGAAAGTTGGCTGTACCGTTGGGACATTCTTACTCTTGCTTCTATAAGGCGTTTTTCGCGTGCCTCAGGAGATTCGGCTTTTAATTTTTTAGCCCGAGCCTGAGCCCTTTTTGTTTTGCGAGATAATCCCATATTGTATGTTTTTATTTCTTAAAATGGTCTGATACCTATTGCCGAAAAAATCAGTACTAATGGAGAAGTACTTAATAATAATAAAAAAAAAACAGTTGAACTATAACTAAAAAAAAAATACAAAAAGAATAAGTGAGGATTGTTTAAAAGAATGTTACTTAAACTAACCAAAAATATCTACCTACCTAGTTATTTTATTAATAATTATTATTATATTATTAATTAATATGAATAATTTAAGAAAGAACCAAAAAAAAAAAACGGAAGAACGAGTTAATTAATTAGAAAGAACGAATAAATTTAAAGAGAGAAACACGAAAGAAAAAGAACGAGTTATTTATACTTTATAAGTTTCGCGTCAGATATAAGTTTCGCGTCAGACGACGAAGTATCGAAAAAATCGCTATTCAGAGACGACCGTCAACGACGTGTGCCCTTATGCGTGTGCCCGCATTCGGGCTGTATACTCGAGCATATCCCCCTCCGCACCGCGCCGCGCGCCGCATGCCAGGCCACGCCCTATCTTTTTGCTTGCTAACGCATGAGTTGCTTTGCGTTGACGCAGAATTAACATGTTTCCGTGAGAATTTTGAGAAAAAACGTATCCTATATTAATTATTACTCCCGTGATTGAAATGAATCTAATGATACCGCATACATATTTTTTTAAAGGGAAATTTAGAAAAAATATTATTATGTCTTTATCCCGTGGGACTTTTAGGATAAAATGTATCCTATGACACTCCCGTAATCAAGACAAATCTAACGATACCTCATACATCAAAATCCATCAAGCCGTTTAGGCTACAGGAGGTCACAAAGGAACAGACATACATACATACTTACATACACTCCCTCAACATTACCCTCCCTCTTTGGCAGTCGGGTAAAAATAGGTTACGCATCTCGGATTATACAATGAATGAGAATAAAATCTTCACAAAACAGCCGAAGGGATAATTTTACAACCTCTTACCGAAACCGAAATTATAGGTATTAGATAGATACGCTGGATTGGGAATTTACGATGCGAGAAATTTTCAAGGATGGTTCACGTTAGACCCTGTCGGCCGTAGCAGAGTTAACTAATCATCATCATCATCATCAGCCTATTAATGACCCCATTGCTGGGGCACAGGCCTTCCCTATGGATGAAATAGAGAGATGAGGCCATGACCCATCACGCAGGCCCAGTGCGGATTGGCGGGTGCTAACGACTGCAGATGCAGCCGGGAGAACGAGGAACTCGACATAGAAGATTTTTGGTCACCCATCCAATGACCGACCACTGCGAAAGTTGCTTAACTTCAACGATCGCAGCCGAACGAGCTAATCGTCTGCGCCATCGAACTTCTCTAGTTAACTAATATTAAATAATTTATTTTACATGGATTATATCCATAATCCATGTAAAATATAACATTTACGCTATTTATACGCTATATGCTCGGTTGTCATGCAGTAACCGACTGACAACCGAGCAACAAATGAAACAACGCTGGGAAAAAACTTGGTCCCGCCTCGGCTCGGCCACGGCCCGTTGCATGAATACAGCGCCGGCGCGGTGCCGCCGGGCAATCGTAGTGATACCTCAGACAAAACAATAAACGTTTTTGCTCGGACGAGTACACTTACCCTATTTACTTTATCTGAATGTTTAGACTGCATCACGGCGCAATGGTACCTACCTAATTGCTCGTTCGATGCACTTCTTTGTAATTTTTTTCGTCACATCGTTTAGCCCAAAAAATACTTGGCTTTTTCAAAGAAAAAATATGATTCCTTAAGTTCTCCTCGCAGATTACATTTTTCCAAGTTCTTATTTTTTCCCAAAATAAGGATAAACACTCGCAATCTAGAAACCCTAAGTACCACAGAGTAGGCAAGTATTCACTCTTTAATATTGCTTCATAATTTCTCATACAGTAAAATAACAAAGTTATGTTAAGTTTTCATATTTCAAAGATGATGAAGAACAACAAAGATTTACTTAAAATAAGTCAAAATCACTGAATAATAAGTAATTATTGCTAATTTGAGTAAACCGATAATTACCAGTTCAATGCTTTTACATAATCTGTGAATTCAATTTAGATGCTCGTTTACAGCTGTCAACTGTTCTCTTAATTTAGTTAGTTAGCAATTTCAGAATACCAATTCTCTAACCCTAATCTAAAATTAGCACTCTAATTTTAAGTTTAGGTTTAGAGAATGTAACGCCAGAATTGGTCCCATTATTTGATAGAAATTATAAATCAAATTGTGATAATCCAAAGTTTACAAAAACTATACTTAGTTATAGACAATGGTGTTGACTCTGGCATGATTCTCTTAACCTAAACTTAAATTTGACAACAGTGCATCCTTGTCATTCCCTATACAGAATGAAAAGGAGAGACTAATGTTAATTTTAGTTTTAGACTCATGCCAGATTCGACACCAATGGCGATTACGATAACATTTTTCCAATCTTACTGAATGATAGGCTCTTTGCAAAAAAGTGTGTAGCCTCAGTAAGATTTCGTAAAGAATCGCTGGCACAGGTAATATAAATATTCATAAATATTAATTATAGGGTAGGGTAGCAAATATGTATTTTAGCCTTTTACTTACAATCTTGGACGAAGAATTTCTCACTATGTACGCTCCTACTACAACCTCCCCTTTTTAAGTCAGTTGAATATTAATAAACAAAGAAAGGCATGTCAGACGCGGACGGATGGCTGCTGTATGCTTCAAAATCCACTAAAGTGCGGCTGAAGGGTGCCTGGTCTTCTCGATTTACTTGTACGTTTCAGAGACCAGCCGACGTATGCGCATTTTTTGAAGTTATACTTCTTTAGCCGCGTTATGAAAAAATGATGAGAGTGAAATTTTAAGATGCACGCGCAACACTGTAACAGAAAAGTAACACCATGAAGTCGGCCGCTAAACCGCACATTACTCGTAAGTCTCGAAAAAAAGCTTACAACTAAATAATAATAGGATCACTTAGTCGCACATGTTGGGACGCTCGTCGCCTCTGATCACTGTTTTCATATTTATAATATTTATCCACATGTTTCTAGTTTCTATATTCTTAACACGTGTTATAATGTTATACAAATGCGAAATTTATATGTGCTAATAAATTTTATTCAGTAGTGATTTAAATTGAATATTTTGATTATTTATTTAATTTTTCAAATTAAAACTGAACTTTAGTGACTGCGTTGACTATCCTTTTCCAATCCTTTTATTATCTTATTGTAATTAATTATCTGCATGCAATTAAAAACTATTTTTTAATAATTCCAAAAAGAAGTATAACTTCTCACGCGCGTACTTAAGTACACGCACCCGTATTTTTTTTTTTTGACATTTACAGTGGTGTCGATTTTATCATGATTCTCTAAACTTAAACACAATTTAATATCAGTCTCTCCTTTTATCAATACTTTTCATTCTGTACACAGAATGACAAGGTTACACTGTTGTCAATAGGCAATTCCCCAAATAGGCTCAGCGTGGACAAGGTACTTGGCAAACAATAATTTTCAAATATTATTCTATTAATTTCTTAACCAATTCCTATAACTGTAATATATGGATCGTTTCATTAATTACGAGTTAATTATCATTGAGTTAATATCTCGTCATGTCAGCGAAAACGGCTATGATTGGCCGAATTTAAGTAAGCATTGGTGCCAATTCTGGCGTGATTCTCTAAACTTAAAACTAAATTTAACATCAGTCTCTCCTTTTCATTCTGTATAGAGAATGACAAGGATATACTGCTGTCAAATTTAAGTTTAGGTTTAGAGAATTATTATGTAATGTGTGCAAAAAATGTGAAATTCGATAGAAGTTTCATACATTTATGTCAAAATTGAAACATCAGAGTGAAAAGTTGCACTTGTAGTGTCAAAAATTTTATTGATCACTTGGCGGGAGTTATATGGCATCTTTATTTTACTCTTTACGCTTTAGTAGTTGAGAGAGATGAGAATAGTTTAAGTTTAACCAAGCTAAATAGATCTCTAAACTGGCGCGGTAATAAGACGGCCTTTTAAATGCCATGTATTTGATGTGGAATAGATATTAGCAAGAAACAAGAAAAGATAAGGGAACGTGGCATGCTGCAATCCAAGATACGATCCCGAAAGAAATCGTGGCATCATGAATTAAAAAACATCAAGAAAGTTTATGGCCACGATGAACGTATTGAGAATTGGTCTTGGCAGATTTCGTGAACATTTACAAAGAATCAAACTAGAAGACTCCAATGGATGCCGCTACTGCTTAACAAATAATGTTGAATCATGGTAACATCGTATCTTGAACTGCCCGGTTTTCAATCTATAAATACAGAGGATTTTATTACGATTATTTTATTAACACATTTGAAGATGTTTAAATGGAAATAGAATACTCACGATACTAATGAAAGGCCGAAATGGTGAAAACCATGGCCGTAAAATAGGAATTAAAAAGAAAACTTACTATAATATGGCGGCGAGAGAAATTTTGACAGGCGGGCTGATTGGATGGAAATTGAACAAAGTTGAAAGTTGAAAGCTCACTGAAAGCTTGTTGTATGAAAGGAAGGAAGCTTGCAGTCCTGGTTTTCATGTATTCGTTTTCGAAATCAAAGCAAAATGTTTTTCGTTTATTTTGTGACAAATTGAGTAAAACTAAAAATTATTAGAAGAACAGTTTTGTTAAAGTGATTTAAAAGGAATAAACATGGGGATGTCACGTTGTTATTCTCTAATGAAATGTTTGCTGATTATGTTTAATATAATATTATTGGTAAGAATGAACATAAAGGCATGAATAAATGGTTTATTTAATTAATATTTTAAGACATTTAGTTTTTTACTGTAATTGAATTTAATGAGCACCAAAGTGAATAAACAACATTTTTAATCAAATTGGAAGTATCTAACAATTCTGTTTATTTCTTTAAAGTGGTAGGAAAAGAAACAGAGTTGTAATATCGATTTTAAGTAATTACAAATTTTCTTTCCTCAACAAAAAGATAAATTGGCAAAAGATATAACACAATATGAACTTGCTGAAATCTATGTTCTGTATTTTTTTGAAACCACCCCCCCTATGCATGAGCACCGCGATATGATATAATTTTTTTTTATCATGCTTAATTGTCAAATTACTATGGATTTGAGAGTTGACACCATAAATCGTATTTTATTGTATTTTGTGGTGCTTATCCTACAGGGACATAACTACTTTATTTGACGACCTTCTTGGCCGAGTGGTTTGTACGCCGGGTTTCATGGTATGGCCGACTCAAGAGGTCCCGGGTTCGAATCCTGGTGGGGGCAGATCTTTGTGTGATAAATTCGAGCATTTGTTCTCTAATCTTGAATGTTTAATATGTATTTCTATATAAATATACTTATATATGTACAGTATATGTATTCTATCTATTACCCTAGTATCCCATAACACGAGCCTTACAGTGCTTACTTTGGGGCTAGGCTAATTGGTGTGAGTGTTGGAAATATTTATTTATTTATTCATCATGATAAACACACAAGAAGGGGGTCTCATCAAAGGCAGGTAGTAACAACAACACAACCCTTGTGTTATTAAAATGAAATTAAAACATAATTTATTCAAATTGTGTCATAAAAAGCTCTTTTGAAACATCTTATATTGTTGGTTATCTTTTAAGTAACAAGAATGTTTGCAAGAAACATATGAGCATCAACAGAAGTAGTAACATTTACATAAAACAATGGCGCTACCATACTCTTAATAAGAAGAAATAATTATGTGATACACAGTAATGTGTAAATTTAGTGACAGGAGTTTGCTTACTTTAATGAGTGAGCTATATTGGTCCGGTCAATGAAAAAAGTGCTAGCTTATAAACGAAACTCCTTCAAAAAGAAACAGCATGAACTTTTTTTTTGTTTAAAAAGTCTTTAATTCACCCCCCACCAGTTTATGCCATCAGTATTTTATCATTGTCAAACCAATATCAGCTATGTGCACTTGAGTTTTCAACATTTCCATCGGTTTATGACTAGTATATTAACTGAATATTTTTATGCAAAGACTACTATGCACTATGCTATCTAAGCACTGTGAACGGAGAGGTCGCTTAAAAATATATGTTATGTGCATTAGTCAGAATATTTTCAAACATCAACTGCTATGTTTCATACCGGTACTTCACTCGGCAATTCGTATTCGCTGTGACATTTTGACAGCCGGTCGTTCCTATCGCGTAGTAGAAATCTTAGCCAAGTTTACAAGAAGCGCCCGGTATCGAAGTAATATTTTTTGCACATAGCGGACGTCGGTATTGACGGTGACCAAATATTGACGAGATAAACGGGGTGGTTCAGTGCGTGGGCAGCGGGGCTTGCGGGTTCGCGGCGTGGGCGCTGTGGGAGGGCGGGGCGGCGGCGGAGGCGGAGGCCGGCGTGGATTCGGTGGCGGCGGGGCGCGCCGGGCTGGCGGCGCTGGCGGCGTGGGGCGGGGCGCTGGCGCTGGCGGCTCTGGCGGGCGTGTGGGGCGCGGCGCGGGGCTCGGCGGCGCTGCTGGGCGGCGCGGCGGCGCTGCTGGCGCTCACGGCCGCCGCCGAGGCCTCCGCCGCCGTGTGGGGCGCCGCGCACCTGCCGCGCCTGCGTGCCGCGCTGCTGCAGCGCCTGCACCACACCGTGCGACACGACTACGGCGTGCTGCCCGCGCGCACGCAACTCATCGACGCCATACAACAAGGGGTAACGCGACTCCTCCATCCGCTCTATTACAAAACGTACACTAAACATAAACTTGGACCGAAGCTGATGCTGTTAGTTTTGACGCTAAAAAGAAGACGGAGACAACGTTAGGCTCCCTGACCTTAGTCCATGTTTTGGGATATGCTTTGCAAAACGAGGCAGATATATCAAATGTACAGTTGATAAATCAAAAGTATCCGCATATTTCAGAAAAATACATATTACTGAGAAAAATGGCTTTTGGAAAGCTTTTGTACTATTTGATAAAACTTTTGTCTATCATAGACATTTGGAAGGTTTTTCTAAGTTGAAATAGGATGAGTGCAACGGATACATCAATATTTGCTTTCTCCTGCTTTAAAGTGGGTTTAATATGCTAAGAAATATTGTTGCGAATGGTTTTATTTTACAGATGTCCTGAATCATTTAGGTAAAAGAGTATCCAATCGATTGTTTGTAGAAAGTGACTGAGCATTAAATTAACTACTTGGTTTACAGCTAGAGTGTTGCGGTGCGAATGATATGCGCGACTGGCAGAACTCTGCGTGGGCACGCATGGAGGCAGGATCAGGGACGGCTGCAGGAGGCACACCTGGGGCTCTGGACTTGTCAGTTTCTGCAGATCCTCAATACTATCTGGTGCCACCTTCCTGCTGTCTGGTGAGTCGTTTTCCATATAAACTTCCAACTCACTTTTCACCCCTTTAAATAATGATTTCTGGGATAATTATGGCTAAAATAATTAATATGGTTAAAATAATGTAGTCAAAGGTCAATTACTGCTAAAGGCGCAAGTCTTCCATATCGATGGCATTGGAAGAATAGGCCAGGGACTTACCAGGCAAACTCAGTGTGGATTGGTGAGCAGCAACGACTGCAGATGGAACCTGGACCAAAGGCTTAACGTGATTTAAACTTAAAATGATTTGTTTTTGAAAACTCAACTGATGGTTGGTTATTGCGAAAATGATTTAACTGCCATATCTGGTGATCGAATGCGCTAAACGACGTGTCATCGAGCTTCTCAATTCCTCATATTGCTATTATTTTACAGAATTGTATTTGTGGGATGGTGGTGTAATTGTTGGACAGGCGCGGTGTCGAATGCCGAGTGTGATGTTCGGGGGTAGGAGCACTGGGGCGTTCTAGCCGCACTACGGGCAAGGCATTAACTTCTCTACTTATGGTATAGAGAGAATTGACCGTGCTTAGCATGCGGATCTAGCGTTAACGACTGCAGATGTAGTCGGGATCAACAGTCTAACGTGTCTTTAGAACTACGGAGCAGTTCGGTTGCAGGATTCAGATCAGTGCCATTTTTGCGCGCGCCCAAGGCCCTACAATCGCGTCGCCATTAAGTTTGAATCGTATTTCTTATGTAGTTGATATGTTTGTTGACGACTTTCGGGGCCGAGTGGTTTATACTTCGGGTTTCATGGTGTCACCGACTCGAAAGGTCCCCGGGTTTGAATCTCGGGGGGGGGGGGGGGGGGGCAGATGTTTGGGTGATGAGTACGAACATTTGCACTCCAGTCATGGATGTTTAATATGTATTTCTATTAAATAAAACAAGTTTTAAAGGCTTAATGCACGAAACTTTATTTATTTATTCACGTTTCGCAGCCTTTTCAGGTTTGCTTCGTCAGATTACAGTATTCTGTATTAACCCGTTAAAACTAGTTTTATTTAATGAGTGATGTGCGTGAAAACCTACGAAACAAATAGGTATTTCTATATAAATATACTTATATATGCAATGGTGTCAATTCTGGCGCGTTCATTTCATTCTGTATAGAGAAGAACAAGGATGCACTGTTGTGAAATTTAAATTTAGCTTTAGAGAATCGACATCAATGTATATGTATTTCTATATAAGTGTACTTATATATGCACTGTATATGTATTCTATCCGGTACTCTAATATTCCATAATACAAGCCTCACAGAACTTGCTTTGGGGTTAGGCTAATGAGGGCTACCGTTTTCTGTCTCACCAGATGGCGCCACTGTTGAGTGAGGTCCTAAATTGTAACTTTTAAAGTTTATTAATGCGCACATGAAATCAAAGGTTACATTTAGATCGTATTTTAACACAAAAGAACCATATCCTAAACATAATAGGCCATGCCACAGTGACGCGCAGTTCCGTTTTATTCGGAAAAAATGGGAACAATAATTTTTCTAAGCTCAAATTTTTAATAACTGACATTCATTGCCACATAACTCATATTTGCCATAATCAAGCCGAATTGTTACCAATTATTCACAACATTATTTTAATAAGAAATAAACCCGCGTAGTCAACCAACAAGCAATAACATTTGACATTTCGGAGACCTCACGTTACACTAGCGCCTCTAGCGGCGGATTCATACGCGATAGCCCTCGTTGGGGTGCGTTGGCAATATTTTTTTAATTTCTTTGTGGGAATATGTGATAACGTCGGTCGGATGCGGTGGTCAGATGCCGGAGTCGGAGGCGTGCGGGAGGTCGGAGGGCGGGTCGGGGTCGGGGTCGGGGGTAGCGGGGGTAGCGCGGCGCGTGCCGGCGGCGTCGGGCGGGGGCGCGGGGCTGCACCGGGCGTCGTGCGGCGCGCGCGTGCTGGGGGCGCTGCAGGCGGGGGCGCGCGCGCCGCTCACGGCCGCCGGCGCCTTGCTGGCGGCGCACGCCCTCGCCGCGCTACTAGCACTCGCGCTGGCGCTCACCGCCACCGCGCAACAACACAGGTACAAGGCCTGAACACACCGCGCACCGACACACATACATACCACGTCCTCATACCCCGCACACACTATAGGGTAGAGATCGTCTTATCTAATACTACCTCCACCACGCTCAGACGCGAGAACAGATCGAGAGGCCTCCTCTCTTTCTCCGAAACGAACTTTCGATAACGAAGTTCAAACGAAATTTAATTTCGTCGATTTAATTTGAACGATAAACTATCAAATTCAAGCTTTCTTTGAGTAGGCTTAGGAAATCTACACCTCGAATCTATGTTCCGACGACGAATATCATTATAATTAAAAACTACCCAGAAATATAGAAAAAAAGTGCGAAGTTCTGATTGAAATTTAGTTTTTCGTTGAATTAGAGCAGACCTCCTGGTCGTGTCGGTTGATGGTGATGGGAGTTTGGTACTTTGTTTGACGTGTTTGGCGTTTGTTACTGAACGACAAACGTGTGCAGACTCCATAAAGCCGAACGCCCCTCACACAACAGTCGGTGTACGATTGCAACACACTCGAATTAGCTGTAGTCATTGGTGATTCGATTGATTCTACCGCCGTTAAGATATGCGTAGCAGCACGCTTCTGTCAATCATAAAAGTAACAAAAATGTGAAGAATCCTTCAGTTTTAGATAAGAGGATCTCTAATTGACTAACTCAAAAGTCCCAATAGTTTTGTCAGACAAAATGTCTTATTATGGAATAGAAGTTAATGGAGACGGATGACTCAGGCAGTGACGTAACTATGACGACAACTAGAAGCACTCCAAAGCGCTCCATATATTATTTAATTTTTAGTATTTGTCATTTCGACAACAGATTGTTCTTATCGTGCACTATACGAAATGACACAAAAAGACTTATTTACAAAAAGCAAATACGAATAGCCATATGAAGTGCCGGCATGAAATTAAAAATATGTAATACGAAGCATTTTGTAACGCTAATTGTCGTCATCGCTACTGCAGAGCCGTCCGTCACCACGCACTTTTATTTCAAATAACACCTTGTAACCCCTCGTTTACACCTAGAAACAAATCATATACTTATAGTTTTGCATAAAACATGTAGAATACTTGTTGTGGCATTGTTTCGTTTTCACTGCATATACAACGAGTCTCTTCACAAGTACAAATTACTATTTTACTTCACACATTTTGTGTATCCAACAAGTTTGATGCAAGTATTGTATACAACATATTTTATACATATAATAAAATTAAGACTTTGTAAGGTACCTTAGGTAACTAAGGTCTTTTGAAGGTAGCTGAACAAAGTAAATAAAAAATCATTATTCCGACGGCGCATCCTGCAAAGGATGCGAAACGGCAATAAATAAATAAAATCAGTGCATCTAACCAAACAAGTTTCAACTTGTTTCATTTAATGAGTGATGTGCGCGAAAACCTAAGAAACAAATATATTAAGACTTTGTATAAAATTTGTTATATACATACATGTATTATACCTTGGTGTAAACGAGGGGTAAAAACGGAAATTGTGTTTTGAATGGAATAAGAATTTGAAAGAGCGCATTGTTTATTTAGATTAGAAGCCACTTAAACCCTAAACAACACTCATATAATAAGTTTAGTCAACCACCCTATTCCTCTACTCCGATGTTTATTTACAAGGTGACACTAGTAAGTGGACACCAAAAAACGAATTACTAAGAAATAGTAGACCTTGTAACTTCTGTTTATGGTACTGCAGTACATTTTCTCTAAGCAGTACCGTTAACACGAACCAATATCGAATTCGAATGGTTTGCGAGTGGGAAGTGTCATTGCAAATGTGTACTGAATTTTAGTTCTCGTTGCGTCCGTTATGGCGCTGCTGTCAAGTTTCCATACAAAATTTGTCGATTTCGGACTCGCACACTATTCGAATTCGATATTGGTTCGAGCTAGGTGTACTGTACCCGATTGTGAGTCCGACATATCAATGTCAAAATTTGTATGGAAACTTGAATAACAGCGGCACTAAGTACGTAACGAAAAATCAGTACACACTTGACAATGACATTTCGAACTCGCAAACGATACGAATTCGATATTGGTTCGTGTTAAGGGTACTGTCCCATCAAATTTCTTCCTTTTGGAATCTCTTCATAGATTAAAAAAATGTGTGCGTGTACTAGTGTACACACGTAAGAAGTGAAACTTCTTTATGGCCTTATTTTTTTCGAAAAATGATCTACATGCAACTTTCCAGAAATATATATATAGGCGTGCGCTAAGATTTTTCAAAAACTCACCCACTAAAGGGGTATAACTACACCTTACCTTACCTTACCTTACCTTACCTTACCTTACCTTACCTTACCTTACCTTACCTTACCTTACCTTACCTTACCTTACCTTACCTTACCTTGTGTGAAACACGAATATTTGTTGTCGATACTTTTTTTTTTAAAGTTGACAGAAGAAGCAATTGTTCGGATGAGGTAAATAGTGCTCTTTTAAAAAAAAGATGGCGCGTAACCAAAAAACGTGACGCGTAACCGAATAAAAATGTGACGGTAATTTTTTTTCCAACGCCGATAAAGAAGTTTCACTTCAATAATTAATTAGTCAACTCGTCGCACGTGTCATGCGTTGTCGACGGTTCTCTTAGTGTCACTGAAATTAAAATAACTTTAATAATTGTCAAATTCCATTCAACTCTCACACCCGTTGAGATTAGCAAATGACCAGTTGATAACTTTGTTTTGACATTAAATTGAATTCCTTTTGAAATCTCAAAGACTGATCGCGATCGGAAAAGACGTCTGGAATCCGTTCACATTTGATATGAGGCTCTCTGTATTGTATTGGCCGGACGGCTCTGCGTCTCGTATTTGTAAGGAAAATAAACTTTATTTTAAAAGGATTTAAAAATAAAGTTAATTCTTGGCATAATATAAAAGTAAAAAAAAATACTCAGTAGATAATGGCTTTGACATCTACTTGGCTGAACGCACTGAAATCAGTCTATCTCTCTCTAGAGATTTAGGTTCAAGTACGAAAGAAAGAGAGGAAATACTCCTACGTGTCACTTACCAATACGAGGCTGACAGAGTGTAACGGTATATTTTGTACCTTATTATAACATAGTTTTGATAATGTGGAAAATTGTGTCTATCTTTGAATACTGAATATTAATAAGTAAGTAACATAAAAGTCTCTACTTATATTTAACTTAACTGAACAAACAAACTAACATAGCTTAAGGTAGTGACTTAACCAAATGTGTGCTAGATTTAAGAATATAATGTTGATATCAATTAATATTTATTAATACAAGCATGTGCAGATGCGTGTCAGAGTGCATCATGTTATCCAAAGGTTTTTGATGAAACCATATAAATGTTTACATATACACTGGTGTCGATTCTGGCAGCATTCTCTAAACTTAAAACTAAATTTAATATCAGTCTGTCCTTTTTATTCTATGTCTAGAATGACAAGGATACACTGTTGTCAAATTTAAGTTTAGCTTTAGAGAATCATGCCAGAATCGACACCATTGTGTTCTTGAGGTTATACACTAACTTTGGCATGTTATTCAGACTATTAAATTGATCTTTTTTTACTATGGACACTTTTATGAATTCCAATTTCTTTAACATTTTTTATTTTCATACAAACTAAATGCTTAGATATAATTTATCTAATATGAATTACTCTTTACCTGAGCTGGCAACGTCGCATTTGAAATTTTGGTTCACATGTCGACATAAACTTTTTGAAACTTTTCTTGACGTCAACAATGTTTTTTTAAAATTTTGACTCTTGAAACTATGACTTAATGACCATTGACAAAGAGTTGATAGTTTGATAGTTTTGGTTGCACAAAGTGGCAACATCTCACAGATAAAGACTCTTTCTCACTGCGCAATACAATGAAGTTGGTTAAACTTAAATTACCAATAACTTAATCACTATGCTATTTAAACTACTACTTTCTTTGTACGATATGTTTAACAATAGCTATAGAAGTATTATTCAAAGTTAATGTATATCCTCAGGAACACGGTGTATATGTTCAAATGATAATGTAGTGCCATAATATGATACTTTAATGTTTTACAACTGACAACTTTCTTTGTAAAAACAATATTATTGTTCCACTTAATGAAATATCAGTATTTCTTTGAGAATCTTGTTTTAATATACAACTACTGTACCTTACTTGATGTCTATTTATTTATATGTACATACATACATGTTATAGTTTATTGTATTCATTGTATTAGAAAATACATTATTGCAAACTGTGCCGCCTGACAAACTTGTATCTCTATAATGTTATTTACATACTGTGGGTTCTCTGATACTCTGCAGTTTGCTTATTATGAGGCTGCTTATTTATCTTATTTCTTATTTGTATCTTTTATCGTGGTAGTCCCTTTCAAACCAATATACTGAAACGTACATTCGGAGTAAATGTTTCGTTTACAAATAAAAAACCGAGACAGTACTTGGTTTAATCCAAGTATAACTTAAGTTACCGTTTCTTCAGAAGATGGTGTATATCGTGATTTTAAAAAGACAGACGACCATCAGAGAAACAATTGCAAAGTCCAATATTTTATGTGTAAAGGTAGCTTCCAAAGATTGTATCCAACTTGTAATGAAGTAAAATAGAGGTTTTGGAATGGACTACGATAGATTTTCCAAGAATACTGTATTATAAAATAACTAACTTGGTTTTGTTTCCTTTTTACTGTACGCAGATTCCATACCTGTACAATTATACGGCTTCGAATTGTTTATGTTTTAAAGATTTAAGTTTGGGCCGACCGTTACATTCCCGAAGATTTTTCAAATATAAAATTAAATATAAATCTGATCGTACCAGAAGTTGTTCATTTTGTATTTTTATACGAATAATAACATAATATTTACACCTCGTGTCGTCTATACTGTCAGTATATAAATATAATATTGTGTGAAAATGTAATTTTAAAATGTCACCCTCCGATAGATGTCGCCGGGGCACTTGCTTGTTATAATGGTAGAAGTTAGTTTATAAGTTTAATTGTGTACTGACACGTCGTGTGTAGTGTTCGTTTCTGTTTTCATTGTCTATGCGTGTGTACCGTGTCTATGATTTGTAACCAAAGATCCGTGCTCTTCTGATCTGATGAAAAGACTGTCCTCTGTACTTAATACCTACAAAGCTCTGGCGATTGGTGCAGCGCGGCTCGCTTAAAGTCATAATAGTACAGAACATATAATTTACCTGTCAGTGAAGTCCGGTTAGCGTCTAGTCAAATATTCGAGTTTGGTTTTTGGTAAGCCCGCGCCGCAACGCCGCACGGTGGAATATGGTAGAACAAACGCATATCAAAATTGATTTTTATTACTGATTGAAATTGGGTAATATATGAATATAATTTAATAGTTCAAAAGTCGAAGTTTAATATTCTGCAGCGTAATTCATATTTTATTTCGTAAAAGTATTTTTTTTCATGTAGCAAAGTTAAACGTTTAGGCAGCTGGGAAATATTAAGTTCTTCATTTACGTTTTTCAACGTGAAATAGTTTTAAAACTTGAAATGAAAGGTATAAGGTATTATATATTTTTGAATAGCACATTTATCAGAGGTTAGAAATAAATACAATTGATTGTTTTTAATACGAATATAAATTTAAAAACCAATTTAAAGAAAAAATGGAGAAATTTTTTTTTTCCTCAACATCGTCGAATCTTTTAACATTTAGAGTTGTTTACCGATGCTTTGAATTTAATGTTAAATTATAGGTTAGTTACTCATCTAAAACATATAAAAAAATTAGCTGCGGCTTTTTGCGGTTTTCGGAGATATGTGAAAAAATCGAATACTAGTCTGGGAACGGAAATCGCTATCAAATGCGGTTTCGTAGTTTACTTTTATTATCAATAGTTTGTGGTACATTTTATGAATTAATTATTTGATATTGTTATGTAGGTTTTATCATTTCGATGTCATTTTCCGTGAGAAAATAGATATCTGAAATAATTCCCACATTCTGAAACAATATAAAAAGGGCAGGGAAAAAATATGTCTCCATTACCGTTTCAGTGGTCTTTACGTCTACGTACTCTAGTAGGTACGGTTATTTCATTATTCAACATGTCTACTTTTAACTGTACTAAACGTGAGTTAATAGTGTCTTATATAGAAGGCGGAAAAACGACCTATATCTATAGAATTTTGCAAAGAAACGCCAGAAAAAACTAAATCGGTTGTAGATGAAATAAAAAATCAAATACAAACTTTGCTTCCATCAATAATTAATATAGAAGGCGTGGGGGCTTGACTTGGACTCAAGCATGAACTTTTTTTGACGATGATAGACGGAAAAGTTTCACAAGTTTTAACAGATACGCCATCTAGTTCCACATGTACAATATGCGGAGTAACTCCTAGACAAATGAATGATTTAACGAAAGTAATAGCTAGGCCTGAAAATGAAAATGCTTATCAATACGGATTATCCACATTACATGCCTGGATTCGTTGCATGGAAATGATATTACACATATCATATAATCTATCTTTCCAAATGTGGTCTGCTACAAGCGGCTGCTGCTGCTAAAAAATTTCGCTTACACCATGCTCGGAAACGAAGATGTGTTTAATACACTACTTTACACTTCAGATCCATATATTAGTCCAGTCAGTATTGTCGCGAAATCCGTTTTTCCTCAAACAGCTGGAACTATGCTAAAAAGTTTCTTAAGATAGTAAAGAACACTTTACATAGAGAAAAAAATGTTTCCAACCCCGGGCAAGGGTGAAAACCACCCTTAATAATCTATTTTTCCAATTATCTCAAAAAGTATACGAGATACGGAAAAAAACTTCAAATGAAAATTGTAGATCTTTTTGAAATCTACAAAACATTATTCCACCCTCTTGCCCCTATTTTCAATAGGGGAGCCAATAATCGAAGTCAAAGATTCAATACTTAAAAAGTTAAAGTTAGTTAAAAAAGTTATCTAAAGTTATCTAAGTTATCTTAATGTAATGTAATGTAATAATCTTTACATTAAGATAACTTAGATAACTTTAGATAACTTTTTTAACTAACTTTAACTTTTTAAGTATTGAATCTTTGACTTCGATTATTGGCTCCCCTATTGAAAATAGGGGCAAGAGGGTGGAATAATGTTTTGTAGATTTCAAAAAGATCTACAATTTTCATTTGAAGTTTTTTTCCGTATCTCGTATACTTTTTGAGATAATTGGAAAAATAGATTATTAAGGGTGGTTTTCACCCTTGCCCGGGGTTGGAAACATTTTTTTCTCTATGTAAAGTGTTCTTTACTATCTTAAGAAACTTTTTAGCATAGTTCCAGCTGTTTGAGGAAAAACGGATTTCGCGACAATACTGACTGGACTATATAACGAGCATAAGAAAACCATATGCAAAAAATGTAAAGGAGCTCGATGAAGATACTTTACACCTTCTCAAGGTTAATGAACTTATTTCAGATCCTGAAGCTCACCGGGTGTAAGATGTCAATCTTGCTGAGCAAAAAAAAAGAAATATATATTGCGATAATTTTGATTTGTTTCTGTATGTTAGCGTAGTGTTAAAAATATATTACCATTTTTAATTTTATATTATCAATATAATATGATAGTTATCTTAATAGAGTAATTAGCATTAAGAAATAGACGTACAATATGTTTCTAAAAAATATTTCAATAAATAAATAATACTAATAATACTGTTTTGAATCATTTTGTGACTTTTCTTTTTTAATTAAAAAAAATACGCATAATTCCAATTCATCAAACATTACTTATATGAATCCTTATGTATCACTTTATATTATAGCAAAATTTTATAAGTCTATCTTTCAAATTGACGGAGTTACAGATTTTTAATCCGAAACACACCGAAATATTCCACAGTGCGCCGCCACTACAATTACTGTAACAGGCTTTAATTTGAGACTGATTTACTTTAACACTTTATTTCTTGTTATTTACATTGATAACTAAACTAACACGTTTATTATCGTAATCGAGTACAAATTTTTTAGTGATAAGTTATTTTTAAAATTATGATTGTTCACTTTATAATATACTTACTAAAAATACTTAATGATATATGCTTTCGACTGATTCTATTTAGGTTAAAGCGTTGAGGACTGACGCCGACCCATTAGGCTATCGAGTTACACTTCTGTAGCGACATGGGAGAGTCGAGGTTTCCTTATGTATGTGCGTGTGAAACATTTTTACATTCGCTTCGGTCGGCGGATGTCCGGTTGGTGTTTATTTATAAGTTTTCTCATTAACATTAGTGTTTGGAATGCGCAGCAGCCACACGTTCCGTTTTAACCGTACTCTGAATTGAAATTTGAATTAAGTAATTTTATAGCAGTGTTTTAGCCATGTGTTAGTGCAGTAGATAGTTAAATACTGTTTAATAGCGTTCCCTTGCGTCGTGATGGCTGCTCGCTGCCCTCAGTGCCATGTAGGAGGTAGGGAAGGCCCGTTGTCGGTCACAAATATTATTTATCCTGTTTTTGACACTAATAAATGTACCTTATTGTGATGTCTTGTGTTTTATTTCTTCCAACTAGAGCTTAAAGCGTTTGGTAGCGATTATGATGAAACAGCATCTCGATACGATATTAAATAAGTAGGTATCATTATTAAATAAAACGTGTTCAGAATAATGAGTTAATCAGAAGATTTGAGCGATAGATTGATCTAGTGACTGCCCCAAGAAAAGTTTAATTGAACCTCTAGGCTTCAAGTTTGTGCTTGACGTGTATTTGATTTGCTGGCTTTGTTTTCTGTAAAGGGGCTCCTCTGGGGGCCATTCGCCTAACGGAAATGCTTTGGAAAACGCTAACGCTTTCGATTTTGAATTGTTATTTCTGACCGCCGAAGGTTTTCAAATACCTCACGCTCATTTTCTTTTAATATTGTTATTACCAATGCAAAGAAAAAAAGAGCGGGAGGCATTTGAAAACCTCAGGCGGCTAGAAATAACAAAATGTAATCGTAAACGTTAGCGTTTTCCAAAGCATTTCCGTTAGGCAAATGGCTCCCTGGTCTCTCTCTGCCTTACATTCAGCCCTGAATTAAAATAAGGAGAAAAAGACAAAATAATGACCCACCGTTCAGAAGGCTTGTAACACTAGACTTGAGTGCAAATCTTATGAGGCCCGGGGCGTCAGATTTTAAAATGCAACCGCAACCATGTTTATAGGCCCAGTTAGATTTGGTGGGTGTTAACACCTTTTTGCAGCTATTGACACTTAACGGCTGCACATGGAGCCAGCACCGATGACTTAGCGAGTCTACTGCAGCAGGGAGGAGCATAGCACAGTAAATTTTAGTCACCCAACTTGCGAAGTTGCGTTTCGTTGAAACTTCCACGATCTTAGATCGAATCCCTTTCCTGTTATCGAGCTCCTCCGGTCTCCTTATCTTCCATTTGGTACTGTAACGTCCGTGACGTCCTCCTTGTTTAGGTAAACTCTTTGCTTTTGCAATGCCTACGGTTGGCAGTTATATTAAAAAGTTAATGTCATGATTTTAAGATTTGAAATAAGGAATCGTCTGTCTTTTGATAGAAGGTTCCATACAAGAGACAATCTTCAGGCACCAACCAAACCTCTCGTAGTTAGATAAAAATAATTATATTCGCCTGAATGAAATAAATATCTTATCTCTACCAGTATCTTTTAATTAGTAATTACGTCCCCTGAGTTCTATCCACTCTGGCTAGAGCTCCTCAGTACCCAAGGATTATTTATTCATAGTCCCTTTCTATAGATGTTTATCATCGCATCATCAGCCTATTAATGTCCCCACTGCTGGGGCACAGGCCTTCCTTATGGATGGCATAGGGATATTGGGCCCTGACTAGGGTTATCATATCTCAGGATTTGTCCTGAGATCTTCGGATTTTTAGATTCTTCTCAGAATTGTGTCCGGATTTTGCAAATCTAAGGAAACCTCAGGATTTTTAAAATGTTCATTAACATACAGTTCCTTTTTAGGTACGCAACATCAACAACCGTATATTTTTTACATTAACTTACAAGTTTGATATTTTCACAGTTTCAAGGGACTTGAATATACGATTAAAATTTTAACTCAATACCTCCGCGCGTTTCCGAGATAAAGGGGCAAAACCACAGAATTTTTTGATCAAAATCGGGCATTTTCTCCGGACTTATGATTTATTCATCAGGAAACCCTAGCCCTGACCCACCATGCGGGCCCAGTGCGGATTGGTAGGTGCTAACGACTGCAGATGTAGCCGGGACCAACGGCTTAACGTGCCTTCCGTAGCACGGAGGAGCTCGAGGTA